AAACACTTACCTACATCACTATATACATACATACAGTATGTTTACCATATCATTTTAAATCATGGACATGGAGAAATATAAATAATATAAACATAACATAGGTACATAAATAAAGATAAATACATAGATAAAATATAACTGAATGAGTAAAACTTAAATAAATAAATAAATAAATAAATGAAAAACAGAAATAATAAAAAAATCATCAGAGGCGAAGGCAACGACGACCACAACCACCACATCACCACCACCACCACCACAACAACAACAACAACAACAGCATACAACAATATCTAGAGGATATACGGAACATCTTAAATGTAGGTGTGCCCTGCTGCTTATTTTAGTTATGCTTATTGCATTTGGTTTTTTTTCCAGCAAAACTACATAAATTTAAATAACGTAAATTGTTTCAAAACATCATCCACTTAACAACGTAGATCTATGATCTTTTTTAAAAAAAAATATAATTTAAATCTTGTTTATTTATGGGTATTTGAATCTGATATAGATAATGGTTACTGAAACAAACAAGCCAATCAGCAAGCAGCACCTTGTGGTTTCCTAACAAAAACAATCTAATCTCGAGGACTGTCATGCGTGAATATCATAACATGTAACAGTGATTTTCATTGGTTACAGAGGAAACCTGATGACTGAGATTGAAAAGATATCTTATAATTGAATTCATGCGTATGATCTGAATCATTTATGCTAAGATATACACAATTTGATGTATCCTATTTACTTTTTTATTTACATCAAACGACCTATCTAGTCATGCGTAAAAACAAAAATACTATTGAAAACAACATTCTTAAACAAAATAAATCAAGTTGTTTATATATCAATATATACAGAATATTAATTCACCAAGACATAAAACAGCTTCAACTTCATAAAGGTCATAATTAAATAGTAGAAATGATGGTTTAATGTTTGAAATGTATAATTCTTTCTAGGGGGGTAAAAAATACCAATGTGACCCACCAGCTTGCATGACCTATCTTGTCTGTATGCCGTTGGCTTTTCGTGTTTATTATTTCTATATTGAAATCCCTTAACTAAATCCAAGTTGGAAAATCAAACAGAAAACAAAACAAAACAAAAACGAAACAAATTTACTTTTTGAATAATTGTCGACTATATCACCATATCATCATATATGCCGAAATTGCCGAAACAAACAACGAGGAAAGGAAACATAAAGGTATCTTAGATCCTCCTAAATCCTTATACATTACCTCCGCTTTGATGAGTATTGAAATAAGCTAGAATTACGGTCAATTGCATTGAAACTAAGGGTCGTTGGTTCAAACACCAGGAGGGTTTTTTTTATATTTTTTTCTTTTTTTTTCTTTTAACATATTTTTTCTCAGATCCCCATTGGAAAGAAAAAAGTTCTTTAATCTTAATTATATACTAATTATAGGTCTAATAGACTAAATAATGCTAAATTATATTGCAAAAATGGTACCTGTATAAATTGCAAGAATAAAGGACTGTCAAAACTACATGGTAAAAGTATTTAAATTGTTGACAAGATTAACCGATGTACTTTTGAGAAAATGTAGGCAAGCTTGACAGTACTTTATTCTGGCAAATTTTAGAAATATATCTAATTAGGTTTTCTACGGAGGAAAAAGGTATTCAAAATGTGTGGGGAAGGGTTAAATTTTTAAAACATATTTAAACGTTTTGAGTAGAAACAATTATTTTGCTTGTGTGATTTGTTACAATACAAAACAAAAATTTTTAACTAAAATTGCCTTCATCAGATATACATATGAATGTCATTTAAATCGAAATTTGCGGTTACTTATTGTACATTATCTTTTGCAAGCTAGCTATAGTGGTAACTAAGTATAAACAATGTAAACATGTTTATATATTTTGCAAGCTTGCAACCTAAGTGGTACAATTATTTAACAGCAAGACACATAAATAATTATATTGAAGTGTGGTTTAACTTTAAAACCTCACAACTTTAAATATTTTTAATTGACTTGTTCATTTTTAAATTTGGATCTAACGAGTAATCAATTTAGAGGGACATTTTCAAAATAAAGAAGAAAAAAAGAACTTTATTTGTACTAAAACCCTAAGAAGGGTCTTTGACAAAGCATCAATATATATACAAAAAAAGCAGAAACCTGGCAAGACGTGACAAGAAGTTGATGTGTCATGTGCATTCACGCGAAATAATTCTTTAGTAAAAATGGGAAAGTCGCTCATATTACGTTTAGCGTATATTATATTTACCAAACCAAAAAGCTACAGTAAACATTATACGATTTTACGTGTTGGGTGAGGGAGAATAATGATAATATTACAAAACAAAGCATATAAATATCTATATATATGCTTAACTAGTTTGAATGTTCCTTCATAAAAAAATTAATATCATTTAAGGATTATTTGTATTGACTTAATACCGAACAGTGCAGATCATGATCTGCAAGAATGAGCCAATTGATCTTCGTCTGCACTGGTCGTATGATTAGAAAAGATTGCTGCCAGCAGGCTAGAGGTTAAAGACATGCGCAGACATTCAAATCTTTTATTGTATGATACCAATGCATTATACCGTTACTAACGCTTTGAAGTCATTCTATAAAGTATAATCTTCCGTATTTGCGTTTTGTATATGATTTCGTGCCTATCTTTGTATTAAAATGAATTCTACATTCTATATCAATGCATTTATCATTAAAAGAATTTAAATGAATTTGCAAACATTAATTTGTATATAATGTACACCATTCTATTCCAATACCCGCTATTACCTAAATAATACAAGAGTTGGAAAGGGGTGAAGCAGGGATCATGAGGTGTTTGGGCGGTGTGAACCGGAATTCTCCCTCAACTCTAAAACTGGGCTATCACCATATGACCTTTTCTGGCAATGTGACTTAAAACCGAACAATATTGCTGGTATTCAGTAATAACATTATATTTAAATCATACAATCTTATCAGCTCGAACACCCTATCGTACACAATAATTTCAATAAATGAGCCGCGTCATGACAAAACCAACATAATGGGTTTGCGACCAGCATGGATCCAGACCAGCCTGCGCATCCGCGCAGTCTGATCAGGATCAATGCTGTTCGCTTACAAAATCTATAACAAGTAGAGAAACTGAGAGCGAACAGCATTGATCCATGCTGGTCGCAAACCCATTATGTTGGTTTTGTCATGACGCGGCTTAAATGTTTTATTTAGATAAAGAGACTAGGCGAGATATTTCAAAACTGTTTTGGAAAACGACATCTTGAAAACATCACTTCCATAGCTTACATGTTTTAGAAGTATGTACATTTCAAGACACTTTAAATACTGTTAATCCAAGTGTCTATAAGTTCATACAATTGTTAAACGCAGATAGAAAATTGGTTATTAGAAAATTAGCAATATTTTGTATTTAAGCTTTTGAGACGAGATTAGCATATCAATATGATATTATTAATGTAATAATTTATTTTTTGGCATTATCAATCAACTTGTTTAACTATGTCATGTTTAAATATTTGAATATAACTAAATGAATTTATTATGAAATGATTTCGTGATGCATGTATTGTAATACATGTATACATGTATATGTATGTTATGATGATGTGTGGTGGCCCAAGTCAGAAATAAAGTATATAATTCTATGTTCAAATATGTTCATGTTATTTTTCTTTTATTTCAACTACGTAAGTAGCCGCTTCGAGCGATAAACTTTGTTTTTCAATGCGGTAAAAAGTTCAAACGTAATTGCTAAATCATTGCTAAATTGCTAAATCTAAATCATGAAGTTTGTAGCCAATAAGACTTGATTTAATAGATTACTCATCTTGTCTTACCCGGATAACATCAAATCGATAAATCATGCATCCGGGTCAGTTATGGCCGGGTCAGTTATTGAGCAAAGGTTACTGCTGCCTATAAAAGTAACCATGTGGTCAACTGGTCATCAAAGTGTCTTCTCAGGTCAGTTCAAAACACGTTTTGTACGTGCTTTTTAATATATTAATCATTAATGATTTTAGCGTGAGAAGCATAGAAAATAGCTATGTACTTGTATACACGTTTCCAATTTTGTCTTTGTTAATATTGTTTTTTATGCATCGATTATGGAAGACTAAGTGTAAGCTTTGCTTGATATATAGCTATTCAACTTATTTGTGACAATTAAAGTCATGATCATAATGAGTAATTCACAAAAACTGCAGATATCCTATTAAGAAACCATTCTCTTTTTATAATAATAATAATAATAATAATAATAATAATAATAATTATAATAATTAAGATAATAATGATACTGAAAATAATGATAATAATAATGATATTAATAATAATAATGATAATAATGATGATGATGATGAAAATAATGATGAAAATAATGATAATAATAATAATAATAATAATAATTTTTTAATTATTTTATTCATTGTAAGTATTATAATTACTACTGTTATCATAACTTTGTTTGTTTGTTTTAATTGGGTTTTACGTCACACCGACACAGTATAGGTCATTTGGCGACGTTCTAGCTTTACTGGTGGAGGAAGACCTCAGGTGCCCTTCCTTGCATTATTTCAGGCATGAACGGTCACCTGAGTACAACCACCGACGTTCCGTAAGCTAGCTGGATAGCTTCCTCACATAAAAGAATCTAAAGTCCCTGTCGGGATTCGAACCCACAGCGGTGAGGGATTTATCATAACTATATATTTATGGTAATGCTCTTCTCATTGGCATAATAATAATTATCATAATTTATACTAATGATGTCATAATGATGATTATCATCATCATCATCAACATCTTTAAACAACAACAACAACGACGAAGACGACGACGTAAACAACAACTACAACAATAACAACAGTATCAGCAGCAGAAGCAGAATCGTCGACATCTTTGTTGTTGTCGTCATTATCATCAAATTGGTTATAATAATAATATCAATTATAAATCCTGCAGTATCATTATTATTTATTGAAGAAAATTTTCTTATTACTTTTTACTGCAGAAACAACAAAAATATGCGCCTGAGAGTAGCGGTGTTTGTTCTTATAGTGGTTCTTGTGTCCACAGTGACTGAAGGACGTCGATTGTCATCCAGCAAACTCGAACGTTATGTAAGTTGAATATATCAGTACAGTCACGTGGAAAAGTAATTTCATATTCTGATTGATTTATTTATAAATGTGATGACTTCTATTTGAAAGCGACACCAACAATAAGTAAAAAAATGATGATTTTTAAGAAATAAATACGTGTTTAAGAATTTTAATAAATAGACATGTGTTTAGATACTTTGAAGCTGCTTTCCTTAAATCTAAGCTATACTGTACAAAAACTTGAATGCAGTGAAGCATACAAAGGTAATTTAAGCAAGCACTTAACTACCTATAATTTGTTAAAATATACTCGCTTTTTTCTAAACTGTAAATACAAATTCAGACATATTTTGTATACTATTTTTACATTCAAACTTTAACTTGAAAGTGAATAATTCTAGCTTGTTCTTTTTTAACTTTTGGTGTTAATCTGTTTGATTATTATTTGATTGATTGATTGATGAATGAATGAACCAATCAATGAATGAATGAATCAATCAATCAATCAATCAATCAATCAATTCACGTTGAAAAGCTTTGTCCCAATATCATTTTTCTTTTTTACAGAATTTTTTTTTTAATTTGTTGCAAGCGTATCAACATCAAGTTGACCGCTTTTTTAACGAGAGCCAAAAATGACAGAATCTGATTTCTGATGAAAAAATAAAAAATAAAACTCAGAATTAATGAATTGATGATATGATGATTTCGTAAAATGTTTTTTTGTGTGTAAAAGACGATTTGATAAGTTGGCTAGAAAAAAGATTTCTTTGAAAATACGAATCGATTTGATGATGAAATAGTGTTACGAGCGATCATTACAAAATGTTAAATATTAAGTTGAACTGTTTTTACTCTCACTTTTTTTTCCAGAACTCTTATGTTCATATTGGTACAACTGGCCATGGGTACTTGAAGGTAATGTTGTTTCAATGTATTTCTGTCGCATAATTATAGTTTGCTAATTTTAATAAATAGCTCATTGAGCCTTACCAAGTTAAATATCTTATTTCTAAAAAAATATATGCTGACTGAATTGCAAAAAAAAAAAAAAAAAAAAAAAATGGTGTGCCGGCTGTATCAGTCGCTTTGGTAGAATCTGTTGCCATAAGCAGGCTAGAGGTTGATAGTATAGACACTACAATCTTTTGTTAAGTAAATGAATGCTACATCATTCATATATGCTGATATTATCATTATCAAAAGACAACAAGTTTTGAAGAAAAAAATGAAATAAAATTAAAAATAAATAAATAAATAAAAATAAAAATGAATGATTGTTTTCCACTTGAAAGTGATGCTTATTCAGCCGCTTTGAACGTTTGGCGAAGCAATGTTCATTGATCCCATATAAGGAATGCTATTTTAACCTTGAATTACTTTCGTCATGTTCAAAGTAGTAATTTAGTCACTTGAATAACTTGTCCAAATTTGAATATACAAGCGTTATATCGTTTTGAAAATTCAACAGCTTCAAGGCAATTTTCTTGGTAATGCTATGTTTTTTATTATTAATCAGCTGAGAGATCGGAACCCACGGAACGATTACCACAGATAAGAGCACTGGTTGGAACATGTAAAGTCGACGTCGGTACTTGCCCAGTTGGGTCATGCTCAACATTTCGAAAGTTTTCAGAATTTTGTCCTGATAATGGTTACACATGCGCCAAAACAGAAACCCGAATCCGTGACTGCGGGGAGTTCGGAGAAATAAAATACGAATACGTTAAACATTGTGGATGCTGTGAGGAAACCGATATAGTTGTCACGGGTGTTGTAAAAGATCAAGTCACTAGAAAACCAGTCGGTAGAATTAATCTCTACTTTAACAGAAGGAACCCTACACGTACAGGCAAAAATGGCATGTTTAAATCCACCATTAAGTCCAACGTTCGGCGGGTTGTTATAACGACAAAGGGCAAGAACTATTTGGAAGCCGTCAAGGTTGTTGATATACCAGAAGGATTTAGAGGCCCAGTGGAAGTTGAACTTTTTGTTGTTAAGAAGCCTAAGCCTGTGAAAATTGATTCAACCGTTAAAACAATACTTTCTCTTTCAAACAATCCTTTAAACCCAGAAGCCGGACATACAACTGTTGTTATTCAACCAGATTCTTTTACTGATCGCCAAGGGAAGCTTTATAAAGGAGTTGTCAATGCACGCGTAACTTTTATTGATACAGAAAATATCCCCGATACTGAAGCTCCAGGTATATTCCAAACACCTGTTGGAAATTCGGTCGAACCTCTTATCACAGATGGTGTATTTTCCTTCAATTTTGAGAGTGCTGATGGAAAAGATATTAAGCTTTCTGCACCAGTGCAATTTACTGGGAGGGAAGGTATGAAAGTATGGAAACTTAATTCTTTAACCGGTTTATGGGAACTTGTGAAACCATCTCAAACAAGAGGTAAACGTCAGGTTTCTCTTGATGACATACTGAGCATTGAAACTGATCGTTGGTATAATATTGACAAGATTCCTGGTGCTCCAAGATGTTACTTTAAAGGACGAATATTTGATGAACTAAGTGGAGTAGAGATCACAAGCAGCAGTACTGCATCATTTAGGCCAGAAATAACTGCGTACACATCCATTGGACAGCGTCTGCGACTGTATGCGGGATATTCAACTGAACCAAGTACAACATGCTATGAAGTGAGATGCCCAATAGTTAGTAATCCTGATGATAACCTTGCTGGGTTTATTAACATGTCTTCAACAGAAGTTGTTTCTATTGGGGGAATAAATTTTCCACTCATCACTTATCTTAATCCAAGAGAACTTGCTGACTATGATGCTGTTGATATACAGCCAAAACTTTCCGATGTTCAATACGAAATTGTTCCAAATAATTTGGACATTTTCGTAAATTTTGTTTCCGACATTGCTGGTCCGTTTTACACAGACAAAACCACATGTGAAAGTTCAAGTGTCACACAGCCTGCTTTCCATTTCTTTAAACCAGAACTGCCTAGTTACGAGCCGGTCCCTGATGATGCTGAAATTTGCACAGCTAGGATTGCCTTCAAAGATAGCTTTAACTTCTACAACTATTTATCAGACTTATCCTTCTTGCCAAATGTTACGGGAATCAGCGTGTGGGAACAAGATGGCTCTAAATTCTACTACACAGATGTTGCTCAAATGAAACTATCAACAGCTGGCAACGTCAAATTCGTTTTCATTTGTATTAAGTATAGATGTAGCCAAGACAACGAATTGACCACCGTTTATATTGATATAGACATCCCTATTGTCAACATTACTTATAACCGTACATTTCCTAATGGCACAGTCACTACCTACACCGACCAAAGACCAGAATTTGGTTGTTCGGGGAAAAACACTGGAGATTTTTCAGTTAACGCGGGAGGTGACATCGCTTCTATTGAAGGTTCTTTTATTGCGCCAGAAAACGTCGGGACTGGTCCAGATTTCTACGACACGGAAGTCAACGATTGCATACAGGAGAAAGATGATTCAAATTTTGCATTTGAATTCTTTTGCTACAGTAAATATGAGAACCAAGATACATAAACCCATGGTTTAAATTTAAAACAAGTGTCAAAAATGCTAATGAAATAATCTTTTTACTTAAATATTCCTTGATAATATCTGAAAAACAATGTCATTGGAAATAAACATTACTAACTAGCAAGAAGGAAAGAAAAAAAGCCAACAACATAAAAAATATCTGTACTTTATTTTTTTCTTATTAAATGTAACATTTTATTCTTTTAGAGATATTTTGCAACTGAGGGCTAAGCATCTGAATTATACATATATAGTTAATGTAATCATTTGGTTTGCTTCTCAGTACTTGCATGTTTTAGATTTGGTTAAATGTACTTTTCCAAATTACAAATAAAAACAAATGAACTGCAAATGAGATAATTGTTGAATTCTATATCCGGTAGAAGGCTATATGCCATATTGCAGCATCTTACAGCTTGTTCACAGTGTTTCTACAAATAAGTAAATGTAGCTAACAAATTAACGATACAGCTGTCTTACCCCTCACCGCTGTGGGTTTGAATCCAGACAGGGACATTGGATTCTTTCATGTGAGGAAGCTATACAGATAGCTTACGGAAAGTCGGTGGTTCTACTCAGGCACCCGTTCGTGCCTGAAATAATGCACGGAAGGGCACCTGAGGTCTTCCTCCATCAGTAAAGCTGGAACGTCGCGAAATGACCTATACTGTGTCGATGTGACGTAAAACCCAAAACAAACAAACAAACAAACAAACTTCGATTGATTATCGCCGTTCCTGGATGTATACAATTGACAAGATTTGAACAGTTCTATCTGTACACCGTCTGCCTTTATCCTTTTCTGAAGCATAGCACCCTAGCCGATAATAATAATAATAATAATAATAATAATAATAACAATAACAATAATACTAACAATAATAATAATGATGATAATAATAATCATAATATTAATAATAAAATAATAATAATAATAATGATGATAATAAAAAGAATCCGACGATGCGTATTGAACTTTAAAGTAAAGATTCAGTATTAATGCTATCAAGTCAGCCACATATCTTGGTACACTTGTTGACTAGAGTCGTATTTGTGCTTTTGTTCGGCCAGTTCTTCGCAAATTAGAAACGAAAAAGAAGATATTTATGACCAAAAATCACAATGTGGTCAATAGTGAATATGTGTTCCATATCCAAACATACAAAAATAAAGTTGAACAGGTTCGAAAGTTGAATGAAAATGCTATAACTATAAAGGGACTACATAAGGGTCGCTCGAAAGGCTTAACGATTTTATTTTCATATTTTAGAAATACATTTGTATAACTCAAAACTGTAAAAGTTACCGTTCAATAACACCCTAGCATGGTAGTTAAACCAACATAAGATTTACAAACATACGATGCATATCCTCCGTGTGAAAAAATTGATATGCAAATTGTCTGTTTCTGTTGATTTTATAGTATTTGTTTTGTTTTTACCAAATTTGTTGTAAAACTGATTTCAAATAAAATTTTAAAATGAATATGAAATTGATATATAATTCAAATATAAACAATCTTTTTTCGTTCAACATTTCAAATTTCATTTCAAAATCGTGTACTGGTTTTACTTTTGTTGTTCCGTACAAGTGCAAACAAAAAAAGTATTGATGTAAAGCATCAAAAGCGATGCCAAAATATATATTTATCAATGAAAAGTATTAATTTTTTGTGCACTTATTAGTGTCAGTAATCACTTCATCTTGAACCGAATAAACAACAAAATCAAAATTTAACCTTAACTTGTTGGCTTGAACTGACTTTGGCTTTACACTTCCATTGCTGACTCATGAATTGGGCAGATTTAGATTTAAAAAAAATGGTTATGTAGGCTGAACTTGGTCTGCATTGACCAATTTTACCCGAAATGTTTAGGAGTTTAAGGATAATAATATAATATTGAGGAATACAAACTTAGCCATTTTTTATGCTAGTAATGGTACGTCAGTTTGTTTAAGAACCCTCGCACCTATTTAATCTAAATTGTTCTAAAAAGCAATGTATAGTATTCAATTACAAACACACAACACATTTTCTTATACATTTGTTTCATATAAAATTACATATAGTACTGAAAGTGAACATCCTTAATCTTGGTCAAAGGTGGCGGAAAGTAAAAACAAGCTTGATATCCTTGAAATTTAAATTTAAACAGACAAAGCATAAATAAACATACAAATCACAGTAATTGAAATATGAAAGGCATATAAACAGAACACAAACACATTTTAACTGCAAGCATAATACTGCATTATAAAAGATCTTAGTCATATTTAACACCCGTGACCTTATCCTTTGAACTACTGATTAAAGATAGTACAACTGCTGAAATACTCAGCGATCCCTGTTTTGAAGTAGCATTGTATAATTTATCAATGAAGACTCTTGGGCAAGATCTTGACTCCATTAATTTTATACAGGAAACATGTGTTCAAAAACAGGTAAAGACTAAAAAAGTAAATGGCAATAGATATAAAGATGTGTTTGATGATCCATTTTACTTCAAACCAAATCTAACCAAAAAGGTTTAACAATAATACTAATATAACAGTATACATAACAAAATAATAAACAATACATAACATACACAAATGAATAAGCAGCAAAAACTTCAATGTAGACCACAACATTATTCGAAGTCCGGCTTTAAGTATTACCAATAAAGCAAAAATAAGGGAAAAGCTGTTAAACTGAGCCAGTCATTTCATAAAAAGATAAATATCACAATGCACATGCTTTTCAAATGAAATCATTTAATACAAAAATAACTACATGTTTGTTTACTTGATTTCTTAAGAATAAAAAATAAAACTAATAAACACAACATGACATAAACTGTTAATTATACCAGCTCCTACCATATGCCACAAAAAGGCATTCCATAAGAGACGAAGCCGATCACTGGTGTCGCCAATAAGTAAAGTGGTTAACCAAATCTAAAAGATTACAAGTAAAATTGCGCGTGCTAGCTAGAAGTTATTGAAAGTGAGTAAATTGGTAAGATATCATCTAAACCATCTACATATAAATAGAGTGATTTGCATTTTATCAGTAATTTTTTTTCTCATTTCGTGTAGTATTTCGGTTGTAAAACGATAAACAAAATTTGCGCAGTATTTTTTACAAGATATGTTTTTTGTTTCAATCCAACTCACTTGACACAGACACATCCACTCTTCATATTGTTTCATAAAATGTGTGTGCGTACGTGCGTGTGTGCGTGCGTGCGTGTGTGTGTGTGATTTTTTTAAAGTGTAAATCATTAACATATTAAACACATGTTTCAAGAATATAATATTTAATTTCTTGAAAAGTTTTGAACTCTCAAGAGCTTAAATTATTGCATATAAACCATACCATTTTAATATGTTATAAATATCTTAAATTTCAGTTATTTTTCCTATCAGTATCGTGAGATTACGAAAATATTTTTACCCATCACTAACTTTGTATATTATCTTTTTTAAATACTTGGAAATAGTTTGTAATACTTTCAATACTTTACTAATTAAGCTAATTTTAATCTATTTCACCCTTTGATTGTAACGACAATAAAAAAGGACATGAATAAAAACATCTCTCACACACAAAGTATAAAAATATAAAACATCAACAATAAAAAAGGAACAACAAGAAATTATCGAAAAATAGAAAAAAAAAGAGAGAAAAAATAAAATAAAATTACTTATACAAATGTTAACATTTAAACTGAGTAGAAGTTTTGACAAAATGTAATGGGTACGTGCTGAACGCATTGCAAAATCATAAATAAATTTGTTTGATGTATAATTATTTAAAGAAACATATATGCCGCACAGATTTATGTTTTGCAGATTTCAATGAACTAAATAATCATGATATGACAAATCCCTTTTAAAATACCACAAATAGAAGCTTCAATTTAGATTAATGATGTTACATACGTAAGCTATCGCTTTGCGTGACAAATATATATTTTTTCTTTACAGCACCATTTTAATACATGTATTATACTAATCTTTTTTACGTTCGGGAAGAGCCAATCAAATTCAAGTGTGTTGTTATTATATATTACTCATGAAGATGTACCCGGATGATTTCAATATCGATCAATCATGCATCCGGTTCGTTATTGACGTAAATAAAGGTGGAATGCTGCCTATAAAAGAGAGTGTTTGTGTTTGATATTTCAGAATTGCTTCATTGCTTCATCCAGTAGAGACACAGAAGAAAAGGTATGTTCAACGTGATATTTACATAAATATCTTTTTCACCATAAATAAACTTACGCATTTCATTTGAAAAATTAAAATATATAGATCTATATAAATTCTACTTTATATACGCTTTTATACGTATATATATATATTGTTTCAAATAAATAAATAAAATGTATGTTTCATTAATAGGCTTACTAACATTAAAGCTGCATGCCTTCAGATGAGTCAAAATGTTTCAATATAATCAAACTTGAGAATATGCTCTACGATTTTAGGAAAAGTAAAATGAGTCAAGATTCAAGTAATATTTTACATGCTATGTGCGGTTAATGACTGATTTTTAAATATTTACAACTATATTTTACTGCGTTACTAAGGCAGTAAGGGCTATTTATATTTTGACAACTTTTTGGTAATTTATGTTGGTTATAAGTGCCATTGATAATGTGCAAATTGCTTCCTTTTGTTTATTTTACAATATTATACATTCAAATACATTTTAAAAATTTTCATTAAAATTAGTGTAAATCTGGAGACGTGCTGCTTTAAACAAAATAATATTGTTATCATTATAATTAAATGACTTGTATTTCTAGTAAACCTCTAGTTAAAGACATTTTCTTTTTTAAACCGTGCAGAACGTAACCAATGTTATTATCATCATCATCATCATCATCATCATCATCATCATTATTATAATTATTATCATTATTATTACAATTATTGATTATAATGATAATAAAAGTGCTAGTAATATATTTAGCTATTTATAACCATTTTGTTTATTATCAGTGCAAGTGATTTGGTTTTTCCGTTTCTTTTACTCTTTCAGACAAGGCATAAATATGCAAGTTGGAACAGCTTTATGTGTTATTATAGTTGTCATGGCGTCCAGTTTGACTGAGGGACACCGTACCACACCATCGAGTCCTCTTAGATATGAACGCTATAAAAGTAAGTCAAAATAAGGAATACGCTATAAACGTATATTTGTCGAGAACAGATGATATTTGATTTTGTTGTTAAAATCGCTTATAGTGTTTTATTTGTTTTCTTACAAATAAATATCTGATATAAATATGTTTATTTATTCATGTAAACGTGCTGATATATTTAAAAATGCTTTTAAATATAAAAATAATGCTCAAATGATCACAATATAACTGTAGTATTGTTTATGTCTTGAAGAAATTGGTCATATGAATACAAAATTATCGTCGTACTAACACATAGACAATACTATTTAATTTTCAATGTCACATTTTCCTATCTCAAGTCGAAGTTATCTAAAGCCAGTGTCCATGGAAAACGCGCGGGCAGCTACAAGCAGAAACTTCTGCCACCAATAATCAGGCATAATCGTACTGAAGATTTGAATCTTTTAAATTGTCAAATGCAAACAACTTTCAAGGTTTCACGTTTTTCCTAATATATATGTATCTTTTTTTTTTAGGATTCTTATGTTCATACTGGTACAACTGGCCATGGGTACTAAAAGGTATTTTGTTTCATTTCTATCAATATTCTAACATTATGTTAAAAAGGTGTTTGTCTACAGTTTCATTTATTTTTAAATATGATCGTACATGCATCAAAATGACATTCATTTATATTTACGACTGTAGCATTTAATTAATGTATGTAGTCTTGATACTCTGCTAGACGATTTTTTTTCTCATACATGTTTTTTTTATCACATACCCGTGCCGAATAAAAACAGTATTGCCCGGCCAAGCATATATTTTGACGTGACGTCATTTGCGTTATACAAACATATAGTAATACTGCACCTTTGTAACGTCGTTTTTCATCGGATAATCGTGACGTTTATATAGTTCTAAATACACGCTGCTATCGATATATAAAGAAATCTCGCTTTATTCCTCTAAAACTGATGCTTGCTGTATTATAAATTCGTTATAAATATTTCTGACATATCATAAGGCCGTATATAAATGATTGTTTGCAATATAACCCTCGTCTAGCAACCTCTTATATAGGGAAATGTAACCTGTCAAAAATATTCATAACTAATAGTACAAACGCTAAATGTTAGCGTTACAATATAGGCGTGTCATTGAAGAATGGTTCTTTTTCACTTTAAATCACTTATCACTTTTTTATTTTGGATTGTGGATAAACAGAATGTTATATTCGTGTAATATCAATACTGAATTTATTGAACTCGTTTAATAAAATTATTTTATGCTCGCCAGAGGCTCGCATAATATAACATTCTTCAACTCTTAAATAAATTCAGTATTGAATTTACACTCACTCAATATCCTCTATATATCCATAAAAGCTAAATGAAAACAATTTTCACTACAAATGGAATAATGATTTAAACAATGATTTTCTTTAATAGTATTTTATTCATTCTCAAATGCCTTGTGATTTGGCTCTACCGTACATGTTATGTATCAATGTTTTTATTCAAAATTTCATTTTTCATAAACCAGTTGAGAGGACGGAACCGACAGAACGACTATCACAAATGAGAACTCTGGTTGGAACCTGCGAAGTCGATGTTGGTACTTGTCCAGTTGGATCCTGTTCAACATTTCGAAAGTTTTCAGAGTTTTGTCCTGATGATGGATACATCTGCGCTGAAACAGAAACCCGAATCAAAGACTGTGGACAGTTCGGAGGCATATCGTATGAATACGTTAAACAGTGCGGGTGTTGTAAAGATACTGGTATCGTTGTCACTGGTATTGTAAAAGACCAAGCCACTAACGAGCCAGTTGGAAGAACACTTGTCTTTTTTGACATCCACAGAAGGCCTGCAGTTACTGGTGTCAATGGTATGTTCAGAACAACTATTGAATCGAGCGTTCGGCGGGTTGTTATTAGAACAAAAAACAGAAATTACCTGGAAGCCGTCAAGGTTGTTGATATACCGGAAGGTTTCAGAGGTCCAGTAGAAGTTGAACTGTTTGTCATTAGGAAATCTAACCCGGTGAAATTCGATTCAACCGTTAATACAGTGCTTTCTCTTTCAAATAATCCACTAGATCCAGAAGCCGGTCATACAGTTGTCGAAATTCAAGCAAATTCTTTCATTAATCGCCAAGGAAAGCCTTACCAAGGAACTGTCATTGCACGCATTACATTTATAGATACAGAAAATAACCCCGACAATGTAGCTCCAGGTGTATTTCAAACTGCAGTTGAAAATTCGGTTGAACCTCTTATCACCGATGGTGTAGTTTCCTTTAGTTTTGAAAATGCTGATGGAAAAGATATTAAGCTTTCGGCACCAGTGAAATTTACTGGACGAGAGGGTATGAGAGTCTGGAAGCTTAATTCTTTTACCGGTTTATGGGAACTTGTGAAACCTTCTCAAACAAGAGGTAAACGTCAGGTTTCTCTTGATGACATACTGAGCATTGAAACTGATCGTTGGTACAATATTGACAAGATTCCTGGCGCTCCAAGATGCTACTTTAAAGGACGAATATTTGATGAACTAAGTGGAATAGAGATCACAAGCAGCAGTACTGCATCATTTAGGCCAGAAATAACTGCGTACACATCTATCGGACAGCGTCTGCGACTGTATGCGGGATATACAACTGAACCAAGTACAACATGCTATGAAGTGAGATGCCCAATAGTTAGTAATCCTGATGATAACCTTGCTGGTTTTATTAACATGTCTTCAACAGAGGTTGTTACTATCGGGGGAATAAACTTTCCACTCATCACTTATCTTACTCCAAAAGAACTTGCTGACTATGACGCTGCTGTTATACAGCCAAAACTTTCTGATGTTCAATATGACATTGCACCAAATGAGTTGGATATTTTCGTAAATTTTGTTTCCGACATTGCAGGTCCCTTTTACAGAAACAAAAATATTTGTGAAAATTCAAGTATATCACAGCCAGCCTTTCATTTCTTTAAACCAGAATTGCCTACGTATGAGCCGGTCCCTGATGATACTGAAATTTGCACAGCAAGGATCACTTTTAAAGATCGTTATAACTTCTACAACTATATTTCAAACGTAACGAATATGCCAAATGTGACGGGTATAAGCGTGTGGGGACAAGACGGCACCAATTTCTACTACACAGATGTTGCTCAAATGGAACTCTATACAGATGGCAATACTACTTTTGTTTTCATATGTCTTAAATACAGATGTAGTCAAGAGAATGACCTAACTACAGTGTACATTGATATAGAAATCCCAGTCGTAAACGTTACCTATAATCGCACCTTCCCTAATGGAACAGTTGTCAATTATACATATGAACAACAAGACTTTGGTTGTCATGGAAATCATGCCAAAGAATCTGAAGTGAACGGAGGCGATGGAATTGCTACCATTGAAGGATCATTCACAGCACCTGTCAATGTCGGTACAGGTCCAGATTTTTACAATACGGAATTCAACGATTGCAAACAGGAGACAAATTCTACATCGTTTGCGTATGAACTGTTTTGCTATAGCAAACGTGGTGGACAGGAAGCATAAGGTTAACGAATATTCCAAGCAGTTACACAGATATTGTGATACATAGTACTTTAATAACTAATTCCGTTAAGGAGCTAAGGCAACTTCAACTTGGTCACTTTAGAAAATGAATGCTCTGATTTTTTATGAAAATGCTAATACTATTTAAAATATATATTTCTTGTCTGATATGTAAGTATGCATTACACCAGGATTAAAGAGAAAAAAATACTGTTATTTTATGTCTTAATTTGTGCATTAAGATGGTAACTCTCAATATGTCATTCAAATAATTAATATTGTCATATTTGCAACAAGATCTCGACCAATAAATTCCATGTTTGAAGTGATTCTTTTCATTATCTTGCTTGCAGTAATTTAAAGACTACTGAGTCATTTTGATTGCAAATAAATTGTATGCCAATATAATCAATGATTTGACAATATGGAGAAAGCAAAATTTGGTAAACCTTTCTAATTGATAGACATATTATTTATTACAAAAGAAATAAAAAAGACACCTGAAATATTGCTGAACAGGGCAAATTTGAAAATGACACAGACTTAGCTGTTGACATGCATATAATTGTTCACGAGCCTACAGAACTAAGTATCACCAAATAGTATTTGAAACTGAAAACACATTCGATTCACAGAATTAACATAGTTTTCATTAGTTACTTAGAAGTGTTAAATGAGTTTGAATGTGTTGATGAATACAAAGTTGGATTTGAAAAAGCGATCATCCGAACAATACGAAATGGACAAAAAAGACTTATCATTATAATTAGTTTACATTACATTGTAAACAGATTTGATTCATCAAAAGAAACAGTACATTATTGGATACAAGCTGTAATGTTTCATCTTGAAATATAAAATTGCGTTTTTGATATTTTATTCTAAACTTTTAACGTTTTAATATGAAGTGTTTAAATTACGTGAAATTTACAACTGAATTCGTTACTTAAGTCATAAAATATGCGAAAAAATAAAAGATGGTGCTTAATCATTTATTATTATTTAACATTTTCATTTTCAAAATTACATTTATAAACGGATTATCTCTTGACCGAAATAAATTAAGATTGATTGGTTAATGTAAATCATTGACAATAGTTTATATATGTCGGGGCTATGACATGAATAGAACTTATTTAAAATCACTGTTCATAGCTATTAACATGTGGTTTAACTTCATTGTATTTCCTACGCATTCGATTTCAAGTAAATGAGCAGTCGGAAACTGCTATTTTTCAAAGTGAAGCATCTAAACTATTCATTTTATCAAAAAATCCTTTGTTTAATCTAAAATACTTTGACTGGTCTTAATTTATTATGTTTGGGTTAAAGTAATTAACTATGAGTGTTAATAAGAATCATCCATTGAAAATAAGTTTTACGGAAAATCAGTTTCATCCAAAATCATTCAATAAGAATAAAGTTCAGGACTCTTTTCAGAAATTGCCAGTATATATATACAAAAAAGAATTGAAACTTTAAATGGCAAATATGGGTATAAGTTTGATGACAAACATGCGGCACTCGTTAGAACTGATCCTAATAATTATATACATATACATGTACATAATAATATAATGTTGTCATGTCTAAATTTATAAGAGAAAGTTTTTATAACTAAACTAGATCGACAACTACTATTTGCAAAGTTCAGAGTAGTTACCTTAGCAATCTTCTATGTCTAAACAAACTCAAGTTTCTTGGAATCAGTTTTTCAAAAATGTCGACGACAATTGAATCGTGTGCATTCAACAGTTCTTGATCTTTCTATTTTTACGAGCCCGTTCACATCTTGAGAATGAGAGAACAAAATGCATTGTAAGGACATGCTAACATAAGTTTAATACAAAGTTATACTTACCATAGAACGTCATACAATTTCCAACGTAAAATATTTTCAGTAAAACATCAGGAATATCTTTTATAATCTTAATAATTGTAATATCTGTAAATTTAATACTAATTTAGACCATGACGGAAATTTAAATATATGATAATAGAGATAATCCAGAGATGCGGCCCCGCAGTATTCAATATAAAAGACGCACACAGGTCGGCCAAAGTTTTGCAGGCTCTGTTTATGCATGGTTTTGACAAACTAGATAAATATTCTAGCATCGGCTTGAGCAGAAAACAACATTTTGAACTTCGTATGTTTTCTTATTATCCTCAAATATATGGGAAAAAAGATGTGCTTGAACGTCAACCATACTCGCCCGACCTAGCTCCGATGATTTTTTTCTGTTTTCCTGAAATTAAGGCTGTATACACTGGCGGAAATTGACAAGGACTACGATTATGGAAGAAACCATACGATCATCAGACGCTCAGTGATACATGGAAACATTTGCCACGTGGTCTACAAACACAAGAAATACATCAACATCCGCGGTGATTACGTCGTGAAAGTTCGGCGTCCTTTTGATTCGTGAATGACGTTTTGAGTCCGGAAATATGTTAAGTGCTGCTCATTAAATGTCTATAATTTATCTATGCTATTTATATATTTCCATGAAAGTAACAAAATATGCAGAAGTGTTGATGAAATCTATATATATATGCACATTATTCATTGAATAGCTACAATGGTTAACAAACATGAACAAGAGCATTGTGGTCTGCAATAAATATGATATTAAACTGAAAAACAAAGTATTTGTAATATTTTGTATATAAATATCTCTTTTGAATTTCAATACTTGCATGGATATTCATTTAATTTCAATCTTCTAAAAATGTACTTGATTACAAGTTTATGCAAAGTAAGTGCAAAAAAAGGATTTTTGTTTCAATTTTAAATCTGATGTAAGATTTAATTTTACACTGCAGTATCTTACATTTGGCGTTTATTGTAGCTGGTTTATAGTGAATAAATACCTTTAAAGCTGCTAATAAGTTTTCAAGCATTTTCATATTGAGACCCCCGCCTCCAAGTTTTGTCTTTAAGTCCGATTGCATTTTAAGTGGGGATCTTTCAACCACAGGAAATTGAAACGCAAAGAGCAAGTGATAAGAGGCTATGTCATTCACGGGGTGCCATAGTACCAAACTAAAACAAACAAGTAGTGAGTCTGTTTAGGTGTCTCGTGCATACATAATAACTTCTCCCTTCCCTACCATAAAATGTAAAATTTAACCTTAAGAAAGAGAATAAAAGACATTGTATAATATGAAGTAATCATAATGATTAATTAACTTTTAAGATCAATAGAATTAAGATAGTTAACAGTGACCGAGTTCATAAAAAGAGAAATTATACTATTGCCTGTTTAATTGAACAGTGGCAGTTCATCTCGTACATCGAAAAAATGGCACTAGATCTCGTACATAGGACAAATTCCTATTTTAATTTCTAATCAAAGGCTTTATCCAGCTTAAACTATTGACATTGCAAATAGTTTGCTAATTACCATAGGTATTCGTTTAAACAGAGCTTCTGTAGTATTTGACATGCCGTAGTAAATTTAACAGTTTATTTCCTTACGAATGCAGTTATATAATTAAACTTGGAAAACAGAAAGAACAAACGCTCTGTGTGTGCGTGTGTGTGTGTGTGCGCGCGCGTGCGTGCGTGCGTGTGTGTGTGTGCATGTGCGTGTGCGTGTGTTATAGGCAATAATTATATTCACAAGCATATACAATATTAAGTGATGTAGTATATTTCTTCAAGAGCTTTAATATCTTATATCCAAAATTACCAACATTCAATAAACCATATCACATTTCATGTAAAAAGAATTCTAAATTCTCATATATACAGTTCTTGTCAAAGTCCATCTTTAATGTATGTTCATGACTATAATTCCTGGAACGTCGGATTTACCACTGTTTCCGCTCTAACTATATATGAAAGTTGCCAAGAACATTCTCATATTGGTTGTAACACAAAATTGTAAGGTCAATTTACTAGGCACATATTTATTTGTTCTGCATAATAAAGGAGAAGAACTTGAAAAGTTTTCAAAACAATATATTTGTCAAAACTTCACAGAAATACCAAAGAACCTTGTAAAAAGGGAAAAAAATTGAAGAAAAATTTATGGTTTTGTACGTATAGCAAAACAAAAAAATAACTAAAAACATTTTATTTACAAGGGTAAAAATATATTTTGAGAACACTAAATGTCTTGTCTCAGGCTTTACCTACAGGAATCAAGTATTAATGCCATAAAAAAATACATTTTTGACGAATTTTTTCAAATGGCCGCATAAGTTTTTTAATTTAATTTCAATACAGGTATAATTTGAGGCAAAAAATACAGAAAATAATATATAAGATTAATGTAATTTATTGCTTAAATGCGAAACATCATCAGCCCGCAAAAAATCTGCATAATACAATTACATCTTATTTGATACAGTATAAGTATTCGGTAACTCCTTCCGCTGTGGATAAGTTACCGCAAGGATCTTGTCCCAATCGTTAATATACATCTATGTAAGTATTGCTGTGGAATTGCAGCCAAATTCTTGCGATTTTTTCGATAAGTTTCTACAGGCTGAGCACGCACTTTGCGTTTCAATAGGTTCCATACGTGCAGGTATGATTTCCCCCCAAAAAAAATCCAGACTCCTTCTAATCCACTGGACTGTTCTCATTTTATTTGTTGTTAGTATTACGTGTGTGCTTCTGGCGCATTATATCGTGCCATACAATAATTCAAATAGGTTAGAATACTGTCTTGAAACTTAGTGCCGTCGATTCAAAACATTGACTTACAGAAAACATGTGTTCAAAAACAGGTAAAGACTAAAAAACTGAAGTGAAACAGATATAAAATTGGGTTTAATAATCCATTTTACTTCAATCCAAATCTAACCAAAAAGGTTTGACAATAATAATAATAATAATAATAATAATAATAATATAACAGTGTACATAACAAAACAATAAACTATACATAACACACACAAATGAATAAGCAGCGAAGACTAGAAAAAACCTAAAAACTAAGGGATTTATAACAAAAAAATGAAAATACCAGTGTATTTCCAAAATAGACATAAATGTTAGACCACAACATTATTCGAAGTCCGGCTTTAAGTATTTACCAATAAAGCAAAAAATAAGGGAAAAAGCTGTTAAAAAACTGAGCCAGTCATTTCATAAAAAGAATAAATATCACAAATGACATGCTTTTCAAATGAAAATCATTTAATACAAAAAATAACTACATTTGTTTACTTGATTTCTTTAAGACTGAAAAATTA